TGGAAGCATGCTGGGGTAGTGTAGATTCTAAATTGTTCAAATTATGACAACCGGGGTTAGGGCGGAGCCACAATAAGTACCACAAGGGGGGGGGGAATCAGGTGAAAAACAACAAGGCCAAAGTTACTCAGGTGAGCGTAGTGGCCCATGGGCCTCTTGTTACAATTGGCATCTAGGTATAAAAGAGATATATTATTAGCCAAAGGTTTTATGAGGAAATATGTTATGAAAATAAACCATATAATTTGCTTTAAAAATAACTAGCCATCGCAGTACCATTTTCCTTATATTTTGTGACCCTATCATGTCCATGAATTATTTGAATTTATTTGCATTGTGTCCATTTTAACATTTCACCATATCTCGTATATAAGCTAAGATTATTTGAGACACATTCAAACAAGACCTTGTAATACTTAATCTTTGGCAAAAACCAAGAGGCAATAGTTTTCTGAATCCGCGAAAAAAAAAATTCTCTGTGTTTTAAAAACATCATATAATCCGTCATAAGAAATGTTTTTATATCTAATACTTCTAAAGATAAATGAAATGAATTTTTCTAATAATACTTTAATACTTTGATTCTCTATTACTTTAAGACTTTGCTATGAAACTTTTAATCTTTACTTAGATACGATTTTACTATGAAACTTACTTTGAAGATCATGTAAAGCTTAAAGACAATACCTGAAGGAAGTACCTGATAATATCTCTAAAATGTCACGTCCTCTAAGGATAAATTAGACAAAAAGCTTACATAACTTTTACTGGCCTTCTAAAAAAATATTGTGAAAAATTATGGAAAATTTATTTCATGATATTAACTATCATGAATTATGATTGTTAATTCGTTCATGATATGAACTATTATGAATTATGATTGTTAATTCGTTTAATCCAACATATTACAAAAATCATTGTTCTGTTAGTGGTAAATAGCGTCACAGCTATAATTTATGTTAAATTTATTTTTATGCAATTTGATACCATTGAAATGACCATTACCATTACAATGAAATAAAAGATAACAAACAGTGATCATGCTCAAAAGTCCATTTAAACAATACAAATTGTGAGTAAAGCCAAGTGACAAAAGACCTCTAAGAAAAGAGGAGGGATCAGCTGCAATGAAGGAGTAGGCATCCCTGTCGACCGGTCACACCTGCTGTGCCCCTTGTCATGATCAGTTCAACGGGAAAATTCGTAGACCATTTAGTGTGAAAATAATGGATTAACGATCTGTATTAAAGATGTCTTATTATGTTCTTATTATTTATCAAAAGATTCCATATTGATGAGCATCTTTGAAACACTATGCTAGTAGTTAATCTAAAATCAGGCGCAATGTGGATTGAGGAGGTGTTTAACACACCGTACACATCTCACTTCCATTCATATGTCGACACGATATATCCTAATGAACTTGAATTAAAGATACCATAGAGTCTGATATATCTGTTTCATATTTGGATACTTTACTAGAAAAGGACGTTAATGGTAACCGAATAACAATACTTTATGATAAACGTGTTGACTTCAACTTTTCTAACGGCAACTTCCCTTACTTAAGTAGCAGTATACCCTTATCACCTGCATATGGGGTTTATGTCTCCCAGTTTATTCAATATGCAAGAGCATGCTCTACGTGCGAACAATTTCTAAAATGAGACAAGGTATTGAGAAACAAGTTGATGAAACTAGAATACCAACAGTCTCGTCATCATTTCTCAAGTTCTGTGGTCGATACAATGACCTTGTCAGCAAATACAATCTATCAATAAGTAGAATGCTGACTGACGTTTTTCATACTAATTGTTAGGCCATCATTTATGCATTGAATTGTCTACGGACTTTTCCGTTTGTAACATGATTGTGTCCTGCAGATGTGCAGAGAGATTATAGAATTTTCATTTTCACCATGCAGTAGCCGATTCAAATTTTGAAATATGATTGGGAGTGTCCTGTAGATGTGCAATAAGGTTGCTTCTACAAAATCTGGTTCCCTGAACTCCTCTTACATTTTTTGCAGTAGTCCAATCATCTTTTGGATGGTGATTGGTGGTGTCCTGCAGATGTGCAATAGGGTTTCAGAATTTTGATTTTCTCCTTGGGGCAATAAAGGTTGAAAATCGATTTTTTTGTAGATTATAGAATTATTGTGACTTCTGCCCTGGCTAGTTCCAAATCTGAAGGTGGGTACATTTTAGAGGCACACACCTTTGTGAGGGTATTAATGTCGTATCACAACGTATAGTTTAAAATGCTTTAAGTTGGGCTCATTGCTCGTAAAGCAGTAACCGCTATTGTCAGTCTCTGCAACCAGGAAGCTGACTGAACAACCGTCAAATTAAGTTTAGGTGTAAAAATTTAGAACTTTCTCTCAACCGCTTTTTGAGACAAAACAGATGTTAAATATAACAACCAAAATAAAACGGAGATTTTTCTATACAAATGAACATTAACAGTACAGATTTGAAAATTTCAGTCTTTTGTAAGACAGCCTATTCATAAGTGTAAAACTTTTGATGGTCAGTGTTGTTGTAGCCTGGTTCTCTATACACAGACAAAGAAAAATAGGCTCAGGAAAATCCCTTTGTTTAAGTGGCAGAGGATAGTTTCGGATTAAGTATCGGTAAAAAATTATATAAAAAAAAAAAGAAGAAGAAAAAAGAGAAACCTATGGTTTAAATGCATATTATATGTGATTTTATTGCTAGAATATTTTATGTGTGCATTACGGGGGAATTGGTGGCCTTGTATATTTTATTGATATATGACACTTTATTACCGTCTTCCTTGGAAGACGGTATACAGAGTTGAAGTATTTTACAGTCTTCGGACAATACACTTCCTCTCTTTTGTGATTGGTAAAAATTACATGATGTGAAAATTTTCAATTATTTTATTGGTTGAAATGCTGTTCAAGGCAAGGGAGATAATTTTCTGATGATTGAATTTTCGTACGACTTAACAATTTTTCAAGATTTTCAATCGTAAAAAAATATGACAAAACGAACAGTGGAAAATGGCAGTAATTAATTCTAAATAACATGCTAGTTACTAAAAAACGTTTCTATATTTTCATTGTAAACAGAATTGATCTTTACAGCTTGTATGTATTCTTTTCCCTTTTGTTTCGCACTGTCTTTCTTTTCTCGGCAGCACTTGGCATGCCTCGGCAGATTTGTACCTTATCTATATGGTTTGAAGGTGACGGAATCAGCCGAGGTTTGCCGAAAAAGCCGAGCGTCTGATTAACTTTCACTTGGTAGGACTAATGTCAGTATAAAGCTAATGAATAAATACAAAGACAAGAAATTCACAAGAATAATACGGCCTGATAGGTGTAGGTTAGTTTACTGTTTAAGGTTGTTGCTAAAGACTGTAAGCTTTTTGAAAAAGCTCTACTTGGTATCACTACTACTATTCATAGGATATGGACTAGAAATACGAAACTAAAATAAAAAATAACTCATCCGGAATTTTCTCAGAAAAGCGGGGTGGGTTCATGGGATGAATTGTAGCTTGAAAATGAGGTGGTAGAGTCAGTATCTATTGCTGTTCAAAGGTATGTACAGATGTTTGTCTGAATTTTGTGTGGTAGCGTAGGGTATTAGCACGGGCCTGGAAGCGGTTACAGATCTTGCGAAATAGTGAAAATATAGGCTTAATTTTCATGAAATTTTGAGATTGTCCCTGTTCCATCATTTGGGCTCAATGTGTAAATTGAACATGTTTTATTACTTAAAGCTTCAAATTCCTTAAGGGACTACACCATAATTTTGTTACATGTAGAGAGAATTTAAAATTTTCCAATGCACATTTTATAAGCAGCACAATATTAAGGAAAACGTCAGCCAAACGTTTTGATTGCCAAAAAAAATGTCCTCTGTAGACTTACTTTCGGCAGTGTCATGTTAACTCTGACCCTGATTAATTCGGACCGCGATTTAAGGTGCCCAAAGAAATTTGATATTTCAATCACAATATTGATTTTTTTAAATTTACTTTTCATGAAAATTTTAAAAATTGTTTTCATATAAAATGTCACTAAGGCCCTTATTTCATTCTGTTTAACAAACCCGACTTACGATACTATTCGTATAAATTTGAGCTTGTATGAATTTTAATAATAATCAGCAAAACTAATCTTATGGAATTGATATTACCATTATTAAGATTAAAATGACGAAAATCAAATGACACAACTCATTCAGAATTCAGGCAAAAGAAAAGGACGACATTTTACTTAAATAACGTAATATAAATCAAAGCAATGATATCTACCGAAAGTATATAAATCCGAATACTGAAAGCAAAGAGATTGACAGCTAACCCCAAAATGTGAAATACAAATGTAAAATAATACATGCAATTGCAAAAAAAAAAGTACTAAGTTGGCGTTGTTTCTTTTTTTTTTTTTTTTTTTTAAAAATATTACCTTAAACATCGAAAACCCTTATTAAACAATAGGTAAAACAGCCCTGGCGTAGTTCGTTCCGTGATATCAAAGAAATCGATGTATCAAAAAAAATCTTGGTGTTCTCTCACCTATAACTTCTGAGAGCTTTGAAGGCTCTGCAAATTTTGAACGTTCTTAAGGGAGATGCTTGAATTCTATTAATGAAGATCTAAAAGAACATGTACACGTATGCCACAATAACAATTTGCCACGAAATGAGACCATCTTCGAAAAATGTGTGTTTGCCCTCTCATGACTAAATCGACCCGAATTATAACCTTTTTAACCCCTAGGAAGCATCTACCTACCTACCTACCTACCCAATTTTTTTTTATCCTGAATTGGGAGAATGCTAGCAAACATTTTTAAAGATTGCATGATGATAGGTTTATATCTGTGTCATTACAAAAATCTATTGTTTAACTTTTTTGATAATCTATTGGGACCTGAATAAAAATCATCATTTGTTATGGATGTACCCTTGTTTTATTTGTAGGGACATGTTTTCCAGTAAGTTTTCATTTTGAATACTGTATCTTTAAGGGGAGTCTGCACTAAGAAGCGCTCCTGAGAAGGAACTATATCCAGCTGGCATTCTTCTGGAATCTCCAGCACCTTGAAGGTGACGGATCCAAACTCGTTCCCCTTGAGCACAGTGTATATTGGCTATCTGGGTTCCTTCGTCATATCCGTACAGTGTTGCATGCAGGTGCGCTATCTGTTGCCCATTGTGCATCAGTTCAGCGTCTATATTTTTATCAGTTCCACTTTCTGACACGATTGTAGAAGCAAACTGATAGAAACCGCTGACAGGACAGACAAAGATCCCCGTGTTTCCATCGTATCCTTGCCCGGCGTTTGTGACGACGCTTTCAAAGACGATTGTTTCCCGATCATTCAGTGTTGTGTACGGCTTCAAAAGTCTGGCGTAGAATGTGACATACTGATGATGAACTGAGGTCGGCCCAAGCAGAAGACGTTCTAAGATAGTAAAATAAAGTATCCTTACGAAATAAAAAAAAGTCTACATCAGAATATCGATCTTATTTAGATGAATTTGAATTTCATTAAAGATAAGCAGTTATTTCATGAGAGGATTGCAAATACACGTTTTGTTTTCAATTATCGATATCACATTTCTGCGTAAAAATAGAGTGTTATAATGTTGATTTCTGACATCCATTCATGACACAAACATTTGAAAGAACTTATTTCACATACTTGCACATACTCCCCTCCAGGGACGAAGAGGGTAAGTATTAGTAAGTGCACGTGTAAGTAAATTTCACATACTTAAGGATTAGCGTTATTGTAATTTAAAAAGTTTTTAAAAAATAGCATATTCACTTTCTTTCTTGTTCCGCGATCCAATGGCGTCTAGCAAAGCCTTGTTTTGTAGTTTGAGAATGTTTACATCATCTCGTAGTTCTTTTAAATCTGCCTCTGTTCGAGCTACAAAATAAATAATTATTTACATAACAGAATGCAAAATAGATTTGGCAATTAAATTTTGAGTCGAATGTCTTTAACAATACCAATCACTTTTTGATGATGAATACTTGTCTGTGTTCTCTTTCACAACGATGTACATTTAACGTAAGCCGTTCACTTACAAAGCCGTGCCTCCAAATATTTTTCATGTTCCGTATTTGCCAAGGATCCAACGAAACACAATATGGAAATGAAAATTATCAAGGGAACCATATTTGTACACATGTGTACACATAGTGACCTCTTATCGTTAACTGTGATAAAAACCACAAAGGCAGTTACTTGATTGTTAATCTCAATATATTTCAAAGTAAAACCAAAAGAAATGCTGATGAGTGATTTAAACATCAATATTTACATTTGCTGTGCTTTTCTACAAAGCCAACTGTGAAATTGATTTGAAAGCCATTTTTGTGTATACTCACGCGTAGAAACTCGCGTTAAAGTGACGTAACAATGAGGTTACAGAGACGTTAATAAAAATATGACGATATAGGGCAGCGAGAAATTCAAACATTGAGTATATTTTTGGTGTATTTAAACATGTAAAATGTAAATATAAGGAATGTTTTTAAGTTTCGTGTGAATTATTGGTGTGTAAATCACACAGACTTGCACGTAGGCATATTTTTCATGACGACACTAAACTTAAAAACATTCCTTAAATATTTCTCTCAAATTCAATGCTTTTTCCAAAAAATGCACACAATCTACATGAATTTAAGTTATTCTATTAAGTTGTTCGACGAAGTATTTGATTACAATACTTTGGATGAAGTCGTTTTCATGAGACTTCATGTAAATGGTCTGAGAGGCAATGAAAATAAATTTGTCAGAAAGTAAATGCAAAAATTATTATGCGTTCCAATGTCAATTTTATCCTCATATACAACAAATATGATTATTCCTTGATTTTGCAATTTTATCGCACCAGATTTCTTTTGATAGATATATATTTCCATTTCTATTTGTTTTCTCTGTGATAACTCTTTGAAAGTTAGTTGAGTTGATTTCTTGATCAATCTACCGGAATGTAAATTTCGCCACGCGAAAGGTCAGGAGCTAAGAAGGCCTAATTTATGCATGTAATTCTCCTGCGGCTGTCTTTGTGCTTGACGTCAGTGGGCGGGGACTATTGAAATTGACATGTGAGGCCTCGTGTAATTTAAATCTATTAGTCTACATTTTTAAAATCTAAATTTACATTTTTATTTCACAATGAAATGTAAATATAAGGAATCACTTTCTAGTTATTAGAGTATGCCAGGGACATCAACGATAGTTGGAAACGTGGGATAATTTATGCATAACGGGCTTCGCCCGTTATGCAAATTATCCCACGTTTCCAACTATCGTTGATGCCCTGGCATACTCTACTTACTAGACAGTGATTCCTTAAATCAGCAAATTATTGTATTATTTGTATTATATTTGTCAGGGAAGAAAATTGCCTTTTGAAAACTAATGTCGATGTTTTGTTGGATTTTACATGTTTTAGCAGTAAATTTAATGGTTACTATTATTTTTTTTTTTTTGGAGAAGTTCTAATAACTCTAAATTAAGGTTGTCAGTTTTTCTTGATTTTGAAAAAAAAAATGCTTGATAAACCCATTAAAAAGTAATTCAATGCACTTAAATTCAAGTTAAGGACCCCCCTCTCTCTCTATCTTTCTGAACTTATCTATTACGTGTTCAACAAAAGGTACCTGGTATTATGGAAGGTGATTTCTTGATATAAAACAATTTTGCTTATTAATTTTGTTTAATCCTACGGATTACAAGTACTACTGTTCTGTTAGAAGTAATTTTAATCTGAGAGCGAAATAGATGACGTCAAACTTCTTTTTTGAGATTTTATGTAACTTTAATCATTCTATTTTATAATTCTGTTGTTTGTTTTGCAACATTAGAAATAAGAAATGGTGGTCAAGTAATGAAAACTTGAGGTGAGGTCTGTAAGGTTTCTATATTTTTTAATGACGTTAACTTTGATGCATTCACATTTTGCATATTTTGACTGTAATTCTTTACAAAATGCACACTGTATGATGTTGAAAAATGTTTAATTATCATTTACAATGTAATTTAAAAGTATTATTTCACATAAGTTTTACTGTAGTTGTGTATTGTTTTATAGATGTGCCACCTATTTTACGCATGAAATGTTCACATAAGAAATATGCATGGTTTCGAAGTATCTTTTGAACTAACACAGTTGTGTATCAATATTATTGTTGAAAACATTGAAGGACTTTTGTTTGTGAATGAATAAAAATTGAATTGGTATTAATGAAATAGATTCTTAATTAACAAAAAATAAAGATTCCATTAACATACAGGATTAAAATATTAATGCAAGTAAATGTTGATTAATCATATGAGTAGTAAGTGTGTAAAATTAAGAACGATTGTATTAAAAATATATACTGGTACGTAAAATAATTAACATCGTAAGAATTACTTTGATATCATTTTTTTCGCATGTATAACAATATATTTAATTTAAATGCTATCTAGAATATAATGTATAAAAGTCAAGTCTCTGTCCCCTTTTAAAGACACTCCATAAAAACGGGGAAATTTTTCAACAGCTCCTTTCACTATGCAGGTCAAAAGTTGCAGTATATCCATGGACTAACATACCAGATACAAAATGGTCCTTAATGGTTAAATGTTCGCTTCTAACTCTTGAGGCCCAAGGGTTCAATTCTCGTTTCCAGTGCTGCGTCAAAAAGTAAGGCATTTAAGTGACTGTTCCTGTGCTAAGTCTTCGGTGTTAAAAGTTAAAGTCATGGATCTTTAAAATATTACCTTAAAAAGGACGTCGCGTCAATTATGAACCCATGCATAACTCAAAATTGTGACACTTATAGCGGATATTGTCTTTATTTGGGTGAAAAGTTCTAAAATGGCGTAAAGCAACATTCAATTACCAATCATATGTGACCTTAAGGAACTCCTCTCCCCACTGGCATTTCATTTCTTCAGACAGAACTGTTGTTTTTGTAGCTAATAACGCTACCAAAAAAGTGTGTTGTTTCCTGAAATCCAAATAGATTGAGTCCTCTCAACACCAAGGTAACACAAAACAACAGTTAAGAATGCTTGAACTGATAACAAGTAATATACTGTAGATTTCAATTTGTTTTATTTTAGATATAAGGATGTTTAAAAATACTACTGAACCAGGGGCCTGTTTTCACAAACGTTTCCTAAGATCGCCTATTAACAAAGACGTCCTCTGTAATGAAATTTAGAGATAACGAACAATATTCAAGCTGAAAGTTCATTTAGAAATAACAAATCGGGAGCAAAGCAAACACGGATATTCAAAAACATCAGAGGTGGGATCAGGTGCCATGGAGGAGTGAGCATCCCCTGCCGACCGGTCACATCCGCCGTGTGCTCCTTGTCATGATCGGGAAAACGAAAAATCCGTAGACAATTCCATGTGTAAATAATGGTCTAACAATTAGTATGAAAAACGTCAGTCAGCACTTGACTTAATGATAGGTTGTTGCTGACAAGGTCGTTGTATCGACCATATAACTTGCGAAATGATGACTCAAGCGAGACTGTTGATATCATTCTTTCATCAACTTATTTGTCATAGCTTGCCTCGTTTTAGAAATTGTTCGTAGAACATGCTCTTGCGTATCGAATCAACTGGGAGACAAAAACCCCATATGCAGGTGATAAGGGTATATTGCTACATAAGTAAGAGAAATTGACGATTGAAAAATTGAAGTCATCATAGTTATCATAAAGTATTGTTATTAGATTACCATAAAAAGTCCTTTTCCAGTAAAATATCCAAATATGAAACAGATGTGTCAGACTCTGTGGTATCTTTTATTTCAAGCTCACTGGGATATATCGAATCGACATATGAATGGATGTAACAATTGTTAATTGATAACAATCGTCGATATATCTAAATATAATCAATGGAAATCACACAATTTGTAATGAATTTCTTAACATTTTATTAGACCAAAATAAGCATATATTTTCGTAAATAGTAACAACAGTGATTTCCGTTCACTAATACTTTTGTTTTTGAACAATTTTTTCTTTGGAAATATGAGGTACTCTATGTTGAAAATGAACTAGAATTGAAATAGAAAAACTCAAATGTTTATTTGCTATAATTTTCTCAAAGTCAATAACATTTTTTTTTTTCATTAGAGCGTCCTTCAGAACAATTTTCAGATAATATAAAAACTGTTTATTTTGTGAGTATTATGTTTATCGTAATGTGAAAAATACTTCCTTGATGGAAGAAAAAAACTACTATGCCGTAACAGCGACTGCACAGCCACTGCCGTGACCAGGATTCGAACCTGGGTTGTCGCGGCCACAACGCGAAGTACTAACCACTATACGATCACGGCTATATTAGTAGCTATTAACGCAATAAATGGTAAAGGAGCGGTGCTTCGTTTTAGATTGATTATCAAAATAGAACAGTTTCTTACTTGAAGTATATACAGCATTTCATATTAATGCTTGTTTCTTGTGCAAACATAAGTCACAAGTAAATTTATTGTAATAAGACTGAGGTTCTGTAATTTAGATAATTACATCGAGTATAATTCTTATAGATCATGTAGCCTTTTTTCAATTGCAGTTTTGAAAAACTTCAATGAATCAATTTTTTTTCCTCACTGGTTAAGACTTAGTAGGTTTATTGCCATTGTATTCGTTTACGAAAATCAAGATGCAATATTTGCTTTTAGTTCTTATCACCTTAATGCTCAATTCACTTTACAAGACCAAGGACATGTTAAGCAGCATATCTAAAACACGCTGAATAATTTATCGGATCCGTTTATAATACTCATCACCTCGATTTTTCTATTTTTTCAAATATCCATGTTATTTTAGTTACATGGTAAGAATAAAATCAATGGAAATGGGTGTCATTTAGTCAAATATTTTGTTGGATGAACTTGAATTAGGTGAACATGTTTGACAATACCTAGCAAGACTATTCTCTCCAAATAGTTTTCAACACTTAATAAGTTCATATTTTGATTACATTATTTTTTATTATCTTCTTCTATTTACTATTATTGCTTTTTTTTTTAAATTCATTTTTATACAATAATTATTCGATACCATTTTTAAAATAGCATTTCAAAATTTAATGTGGTTCTAAATTATTAGTCTTTTTCTAATTTTGTCATACAAGAACAATTTCCTCTATTAATTAT